ATATTTATTGTAATTGTACCTGGAGTTGAGCCTGAAAAGGATTTATGTTTAGTTGTTGGTCTCTGGGTGACTGGTGGCGCTGTTGGATTAGCGTTAGGGTCAGCTGCAGGTGGTTGCACAGAGCATGTACCAGTTACGAAAGTGACATCATCAATGGCCATATCTCCTAGATGATTGGTACCACGAATCGCTTCAAAGTACACCTGAAGGATGAATACACACAATTAATGGTGGCACAGTAATTTATTAACCAGTGGTAGTGGTAGCGAAGGTTCCCCCCACCCCATGAAAGAAGCTAATCCTTTTGTCGGTACACTCTGCTTTGTTAGAGAGTGCCAATTCTAGGCATTTAGAGGTGCATATTTTTAAAAATTGGTCAGACTCCGAGGCTGAAGAGGGTGTGACCTTAGACCACTAATCTGACAATCTCCTATTCCACCACTGCTATGAGCAAAATGTATTCAAGGAAACCATTCCTTGCCAATTTTGCACTTAAATGAGTACCATTAGAACTTGAATTTACTACTTACCACAAATGTACTTGAAGTTGTTATAGGAAGCTGAGCCGAAATCCACTGGTTCCCATAATCGGAATATAACTGCCAAGATAGAACTTTACCAAAGCCTTCATCTGCATACACACTCAGAGTGCCCATATTGGAGCCATACAGGTGAAACCTACAAAAGAAAGCATGTAGGCATAAAGCAGTACTTGTGAGCATGATGCCAGATGACAGGTGGTGGCTACTTATGGTACAATACAGACATTATATATTAATTTCTTCAAAGAAATGAAGTTCATGTAAAGCCAACCGACCAGACAATCCAAATATGGCTGGTCAATCAATGGTTATGTTTTCTGGAAGTTCAGATGGATGAATTCCATGGTCCTGGCTTAAAATCCTGCAAAAAGCTTGGATTGCATCTCTCAACTAAAAACAAATCCAATCTCAAATGATTCCAAATACCTGTGGATTTGCCCAAATGTGGTTGTGATATGAATCATCATGCCTATGTATGGGCATATCAGATGTGTTCCGTTTTGGGAACAATGGCAATTAGTCAGTTATCCAGGTAAGTATTCACGAAATAGACGTTTGTAACATAACAGCATTTAAGAACTTAAAGTCTACCAATGCAACTTACACCATTCGTTTTATAGAATTGATGAGTAAGTCTATTATTTTTGAGGGTCTATTTCTATAATAGTAAATGTTTATTTACAGTATCTAGGTATTCATTATAATTAATAAGGAAAAAAAACCCAACTTACCAGAATGTCATACATGTACCAGCGGCTCCTAGAGACTCAAGGTTCTGGCTGACAAACCATGCCTTGTCCCCCGGGATTCTGGGATTGGACATCTCAATAAACATATAATAACCTAAAAAAAAATTAAGAGGTATTAAGGGCATGATAAATACAATAGAGTACTGATGATTAGCAATATTAATATCAGTCTAGATATTTTATAAAATACAAATGTATATATTTGCAAAGAGTATTATCATATTGATGAATTTAATCAGCGTTTTTGCATTCCAGTCTACCAGGTACTCATATATTCCCATGTGGGGAAAACATAAAACTTCATTTAGACACACACATTTTTTAAAATTTACATTGTATTGGATAAACTGCCATGTTGAAAAGGTGAGTCAGTTACTAGAAACTACCTTGTTCATCTCCCCGAGTGTGGTCATTGATTGGCCCAGTGAGAGTCCCAGCATTAACACCCTGACCACTCAACCAATCGAAGTCATCACCACTGGCCACATTCATCCAAGTGCAGAGTCCGTTTTCAAAGTCGCAATCACCAGGGGGCGGGCAGGCACCATCTTTGACAGAGATATCATCTATGGCTATGTCACCCTTGCTTCCAGAACCAATCACACCTTCCCAAACAACCTAATAAAGGACAAAAATAAATTACTTATACATGATACAACCCTGTATTGTTATTTAAACAAACTGACCTCTCCATTCAGTGATTGGTAGTGTAAACTTGCACAAAAATTGTGTAACAATAGTTATATAACTAAAACAGAAGAGGAATATTTACTTTTCTTTTTAATCAAACCAACCTCCACTGGACTAACCCAGGCCATTTAACCGTTATAACCACTAGACCACAAAGGGTTCTCCATAATCATGGGCGACCATATCTAAGACCAGCCATGTTATAAGGCTTTCGAATTTTTGGTCATTACCAGCATTTTAAAAAAAGTTTCCATATGTAAAATAACACCATCATGTATCCAATATGCATTGTGAATTAACTGAAACTTGAAAATATTTTAAGAATTGAATTATATACATTTGTTTTATAGATTTTGATATGCAATTTTTTGGCATAATTGCTGATAAAAAATAAGATGATACCTGAAAGTTGCTGGTATAGCTAGCTGTAACCTGTGCAGGGTGCCAGTAATCACCTTGGTTACCACTCTGGGTCCACAGCAACCGGTTTTGACCGGTTAAGCCAGACGGTTTTATGTACACATTCATCGTGCCCATGTCAGTACCATACATGTTGTAATAGAACGAGACACATGTTCCAGTAGACGGACTTCGGCTCTGGCTTATCAAGCGAGTCTTGTCGCCTTGCCTACGGGGTGCAGAGGCATCGGCAAAGAAGTAACCACCTAAATTATATTCAAATGAACATTTATTAATTTTCTTATTCATTTTAAGCCCTGTCCAGACTATCAAATTTTATTTGATCAAAACATGTGACATGCCTAAATATGGTCATGATGACATCACATCATGACCATATATAGACAAATTGTGACTATATATGGGCATAGAAAATTTTTTTGTCAAAGAAAATTTGATAATCTGGACAGAGCTTTATGTCTTAAGAATGTGAATGCTGCAAGTGAGATTTTAAGAAACATCAGAGAAGTATCATAAATCAACATAAAATAATTACTTGACACAAAATACAACACTGACTTAGCTTTACCCAGTAGTTGCTTAAAATATAAATTATAGAAATATCAAACTGCCATAGACAAGCACACTCGTCGTACAGGGTCTTACAGATGGGCCAATGACAAGCATAATTTCCCAATGTATATCATAACGCTGTGGTCCTGCAACAACTGCACAAACACATCAATGGTATCTCAGGAATGTAAGTAATAATCTCAAAATATATTTGTAATGTTTGTTGTATTTCATTATTTGTAACAGTAAATTGTAAATTGGCGGTAAAGTGTAAACTGTAAAGTGTAAATTGGTGGCGAGTCGAATGGCCGCCAAGCGGTTAGCAGGGTCGCCGCAACCTACAGCCATACTATCGGCGCTGGTGCAAATGGCACGCTCGCCTATGGTTCTGTTGGTAGAACAAGTCTTCTCGGATAAGAACTTTAAACAATAGGCCCAGTGTACACATCGGCTCGTGTGCACTATAAAGCACCCAGTGCATAGTTGGAGGTACAAATGGCCCCTGCTGTGGATGACGAGAGTTGCACCGGGCTACTGGGTAGCAAGACACGAAGTGATCCTTAGGGGAGAAGTCATTGATTGAATTTAGATTTTAAAATGTCTGGCAAAAGAGAAAGAGCTTTTTCATACAGAAAGGTAGAGATAATAACCATGTTTTTTACCATATATTGTGCCATAAGTATGATCTACCGATGGCCCGGTTCCTGGGGTGCCACTGGATCCTGTAGTGCGTCGCCAGTCAAAATCATCATTCTGGTCTTGGGTAAATCCGCAATTATGTGTATCCAACTCAAAGTCACAATATTCTCCTATAAATATTCACCAAAATGAGAATGGAGCTTTTAGGTGTGTTTGAATTGCATTCTGTGTATTATAAGGATATTGTATTTAATAATAATAATAATGTTGTATTTATATAGCGCATATTGCACATTGCGACTATGCGCTTTACAGAGAAATAATATAGGCCAACTGAGAAAAAGCAAATAACAATAAAATAGTAACAATAAAATAAAATAAAAATAATCATAATAACAATAACAATGAGACTAAGCTACTCCTATTCCTTAAACTAATTAATGGTTGGCCGTTGACTCCGAGGAGCTCATCCGCCCTTTGTTCAGCTATTGGTTTTTCTTGCTGCTGGGTGACCATAAACACCCTCCCCTCAGCAGCCACTAAGACATTTGAGAGGGTTGTCAGTTTGAGGTGTTCGCGCTTAAGGAACCATTGGTAATGGTGATTGTTGGCTTATTCACTACTTTCCAAAATTTAGAAAACAGACTCAATAACCTTAAGTTTGAGTAGTAATATTATTCAAGTTTCATCATCAACAGGATGAAAATTGACTATAAATCAAATGTCTCATTAAGAGAACTTTTATAACATCTTGTGGTGATATAAGCCAATATTTATGTAAATAAGAAGACAAGCATCTTAAGAAAGAAGCTGCAATTCTGCTCCATACTCCCTTACCTTGTGGTGGGTAGCATATTCCAACCTTGACAAGTACATCATCGATTGCCATGTCACCTCGATTATCAGTGCCACGCACACCCTCAAAGACAATCTGAGACAAGTGCAGAGATTATCAACTTAATTATAATTTCAATAATAACTAGTAAGTAAAGTAGTTATTTACTATTTTGTAGTAAAAGCAGTTTCCCCACAACTTACATTTCGACATGAATATTTTATCATAATAAAACAGTAGTAACAACATAAGCAACAAAAACAAAAACAATAGCAATACAAATAACAATAAAAATAAATTGACACTTGAATCACTATTTCTCTGTATTGTTCTTTTTGTTGCCCTTTCAGATAGGTTAATAAACAATACAAAAAAATATATCCAATAATGGTTGCGTTTCTCACCCTGAAATCGCCTGCTGGTTTTAAATTCACTTCTGCGTAAATCCATTTATTCATGTTCGTTCCTTCCTTCATCCATATGGCATCTCCTAGAATTCCATTTACCTTTGTGTAGACATTGAGTATCTTGACATGTGTGCCGTACATGTGGTACCAGAACCGGAGGCAATGACCGTCATCCACTTGGACAATTGAGCTTTCCAAGCGGGCAGCATCGTTTGGCTGTCGCGGATTGCTTGCCTCAATGTAGGCATACCATCCTGATCCTGAGGGGAACATCAAAGTATTAGCATATGTGGTAAAGACAAGCCAAACCAGTCACTTGTTGCAAAAATTGATTTTCAGTTATTATTACAGGGTTAAAGATGAAAATGAGAGCTATAATCATAAAAATATTTGAGAAATCAGCCTTCAAAATTTATGATTTCAGACATTTCACAGGCAGAAACCATCACCAAATTGTTAACAATTGTTGTTTTAACATTTAAAATTGGGAAATAACAGCATACCATGATGTAAAAATATATAATAGGTTAGTTTAGTGCAACACAATAGATTTAAAAAATGTTGACATTTCAGCATGTTTTGGCCATTATCTCTGAAACATGATCTGCCCTACCTGACGTGTTATTGTACTGAATACTCAGTAAGTTCCCAAATACTTGCAAAAAAAATTTGCAAGTGATTAGGTTGTGAATTGAACCCAAAACCTCCAAATAACTAGCCTGGTGTTATAACCACTAGACCATTAAGCTTGCACTTAGTGACTAGTGTCAAATCCAACCCCCAAGTAGCAGCGGGAACTGCAAATGCTATTTCGATGTGAGGTGTAAAGTTAGATGTAAATATATTAAAGGTTAGATTTTTTTACAAAAAGATGTGTGAAATGTATAAGCTGTTAAACATTTGATTTTGTTCTTCCCATTCTCTTATTTAAACATTATTTTTGGTTTGAATTGAGATAGATCGCCATAAAAAAACTAACACAATAAAAACAGCACTTATTATCCCTGACTGATCTGAATATTCAAATTAATTATTGATATAATAATAAAGTAGCTTTGAGAATGCATGTAATAATAAAGAATAATTTACAATTATTTTTTCTAAAACATCTTATAAAATCATTGACTATAATTACTGACCACTGGTATGGTCACTTGGTGGTCCTGTTAGGTCAGTTCCAGTGGGGCCTTGTCCTCTAACCCAATCAAATTCATCATCTGTTGCTTGACTCCATGTGCAGAAGTCTTGGTCAAATGTACAATCCCACAAGGATGGAACTGAAACAGAAACAATATTTATAAACGATTGCGTAAATTGAAAAGATTGAAAAAAATGTCCTCTTTAAACTGTTTCGAGTTGAAAATTTGCAGCTACTGTACAAGGCAGCAGAAGTACCGACATATAATGGATAAACTATCGCACCTCACTCTAATACAGCAGCAGTACCAACATATAATGGATAAACTATCGCACCTCACTCTCATACAGCAGCAGTACTGACATATAATGGATAAACTATCACACCTCACTCTCATATGAGGGTCATTCAAGTAAGTGAGTGATCACAATATAAACCGACAATAGTGAGGTTTGAAACATGATCTTCAGCCCAAGAAGCAGGCACATTACCTCTTAGCCAAACACTCGGATCTTATACACACACACACACATCCTCATTCACCAAGAGCAAAATGGAAATGTTGTTATGTGTATGGCTTTGATGGTTTTAAATAGTGAGACGAATTCATTACTTGTTAGAGGTAATTTCCATTAAAAAAATTGGTACCAGTTTATCTAAATATTCATGAAAATGCAAGAGAGCCTCTTTAAAGCACAGAGTTGAATCCAAAATTAAATGAAAACTTTGTATTAAGATGATTTGAAACAACTATGTTATCCTCACTAAGCATATTATACAACTTTGGCTGCGAACAAGATATTGAATAAAAACCTGAAAATGTTTAAGTTTGTTTTCCAATTAAAATAAAAAGACAAAAATAATTTCCTACCATAGGGTGTAGTTGGCCCAGTGTTAATAGTTGGTGATATTGTTGTTGATGGTGCACCAATTGCTGTTGGGGGACTGAGGCTACAAGTACCGACTGAGAAGCTGAAGTCATCCAATGCTATATCACCTGTGCCTACTGTGCCTTGTACTGCAGTAATAACAAGCTGAAATATAATAGCAATAATTAAATATCATCACTAATTAATTAAGTGTTATAATGTTCTATTATACATATTTTTTTTATAATTAAAACAGAAATTAACAGACATTTGTTTGATAGATTAAATTCAGATTTTTTTTTTCATCAACATAAATCTGGAAATATAATGGATACATTCGTTTGATAGCATGTAGATTAATTAACCAACTACTAAACAGACAATATCACATAAATGGAATGACCATCTTACATTATATGAAATTGAACTCTTGAAAGAGAAAGCACCAAACTTCCACTGGTTCCCTTGATCTCCTGACAATGTCCACAGAGATCTGGTGATTGCTGATGGAAGTGTGCCATCATAAAGACCGATAGAGAGGGAAGCAACTCCAGTTCCTGACATATGGTACCAGAAGTTCATGCAGCGACTTGATGAGCTGGTTGGATCAAACTGTTGACTGTACATAATTGCATAGTCATTCAACTGGTTGGCAGAGGAGTCAATAAATACATAAGTACCTGAAAAAACATAAGGTTGATAATGTTTAAATTGTTGGAAGTATAATATCATATATATATAACCGAATGTACAACATGTATCGATGATGTTGTCTTATTGCAGGATGGAACAATGAGAAATGACTGATATGTCAATAATAAATCCCCACCACACAGCTGAACACATTAAAATAAGGTCTTAAACCACTTGAGGACCACCTGTACATCAGTTTGCTAGTCATAACCCGTCCCCACACCCCCACCCCCAAACAACAACCCAGTAGTCTCAAGAATACAATAATAGCTGTTTTCCAGTAGGAGCTCTTAAGCTGTTGTTTGACTTTATCTTTTTAGTTCTGTTTCTATATTTTAGTTGATTGCTGGTATTTGAGTGACTATAGTTAATGTATTTAATGTACTTGAGACAATCTATTGCTTTTATAAGGTGCTATATATAAACTATATTCTCAACAGTGTATAATTAAGCAAACACATGCATCTTATTTTGCTTTATATTTCTTTCAGTCACATCTCGTTTGAGCTCTGTCCAGACATGGTTTTACATATTTATAGGTAATCAATTCACCTGCAGCTGTTCCTAAGGTATGATCTACAGATGGACCGGAGAATCCACTTGGTGTATTTCCTTGTCCCAAGAGCCAATCAAAGGTGTCCTGGCCAGCCTCGTTAGTCCATGTGCAGAAGCCATTCTCAAAGTTACATTCTCCACCCTGTGGGCAAGCTCCTTGGGTGATGGCCAGGTCATCAAGAGCAATGTCACTGTCAAAACTAACACCTACCACACCTTCAAATACGAGCTAAGTGTTGAAATATTCAGAAATGCTGGTAAATTATACAAATCAGTAGTGATATCAAATGCTAGCACACACTTCTAAACATAGAATGGGTGAACTTTCAATTCATCTATATCACTCTAACGTGAAAAGGAAATGAAAATATCGTTCATTCATATAGGGTGTATATACCTGTAGCTTGGATGATTCCATATTTTTTTTAAGCTCGAGAGGCAAGTTTCAAAGGAAACTTAGGCATTTATTGGTTTATCCAGGTAAGTATTCACAAAATAGACTTCATATTCTGGTAATTAATGAAATAGGTATGCTGCAATCAGGACTCATTGTTTCAAAAGCATGGCTGATGTCTAAAATCAGAAAACCATTAACAATGCAGGATTTGCATGTAATTAACATAAAGATATTTGTTCAAAGAACCACATGAATTGGGCAATTCCATTATTTTCAGGGTAAGTTCAAAAAGAGACATGGTACATGGGGTTCAGTCCAGGTAAGTATTCACAAATCATCAAGGTCAAGGTAAAATTGTAATTTCCATTCTGCTAGCATAAAACAAAAATATATCTTTGATGATGTATGCTAGGTAGTCACAAGCATTGGCTCTATGCTACAGTACATGACACCCAATCACAGAGGTGGACACTTCAGGATGTTTACATTTCCAAATGAGCATAACGGATCTTCAAATAATATTAAATTTGTACCTCATAAGATAATGCTGTGGATACCGACACCTGAGCAATGAGCCACTGGTTGCCTTGGTCACCCGACTTTGACCAGACAGGGAAGCCCAATGCGGAAGAATCCTTGACATACACGTTGAGTGTGCCTGCATTAGAACCGTACATGTGGAACCAAAATTGCCAGCATTCGGTAGCTGCAGGACGCTGGGCGCTGATGAGCCTGGCTACATCAGATGGTCTTCTAGGTGATGACGTTTCAATGTAAACATACATTCCTGGATAATACACAACATAAGAAAACTATTGCACACATATTAATCACATTAAAACAAAATCCTAGTAATAGTCTTGTTTGTAACCAAAAAGTTTAAACAATTATGAACATTGAAATGCAAGACAACACAATGGAAGAAATATTTTGTTCATAATTCAACTGATGTTTTAAACTCAACATTTCAGAAATAGTTTGTATATTGTACCATTTATATCTATAACAAACTTTCATGTATATATTAATTATCATTTTTCAAGGAAATAATTTCATGTTCACATTCGTTTTGTGGTCATAGCAATATAAGTTAATATCTTATCTTACATCCAAATTTTTATTCTGCATTTTGCCAAGAAATCAAAGCAGCCATATATGTATCTATTATTTTTCTGATTTTTTTAAATTTTATTTTCTTATATTACTTGCATATAGTTGTACTTTGTATGTTTTTGAATGACGGGACGATTCAATCATTTTCGAGGGGTGACCTAGTTTTAAAACAAGTTCTCGTAATCTCGAAATGAGGGCAGTATAATAGAGGCAGTAGAGCTAAGAAGATCTATAAATCAATCAACTATTAATCAATCAGCCAAGTGTTTCTAGAGCTCCTCATATGGGCAGTATAACAGAAGCAGTAGCGCTAAAAAAGGTCTATTAATCAAGTAGCCTCATCAGGCAGTATAATAGAGGCAGTAAATCTAAAAAAGATCTATTAATCAACTATTAATAAATCAACCTCATGAGGGCAGTAGAATAGAGGAAGTAGAGCTAAAAAAGATCTACTGTATTAATCAATCAGCCAAGTGTTTTTAGAGCTCCTCATTAGAGTTGAAAACAGAGGCAATAGTTATACTTTTTTAAAGTTTCATGAAACAAACTTACCAAATGGAGTGCCATAAGTGTGATCAAAATCTGGGCCAGTACCAATTGAGTCAGTTCCTTTGCTAACATGATCCCAATCAAAGTCTTCAGTGGGGTCCTGAGTAAAACCGCAGATGTAACTGCTTTCAAAACCACAGCTAGTCCAATCAGATGGGGGTTGGCAGGGTTCATTGAGAATGCTGATGTCATCAAGGGCTATGTCACCGCGATCATTGCCATTCGCAGTTGCCTCGAAGACAACCTAGGTGAACATAACAAGACATAAAAAATAAAATAAAACTACATAGAAAGATAAATGGAAGTAGACAGGTAAGTACTGTATGCATATAGGTAGATATATAGATAGATAGATAGATAGATAGACAGACAGACAGACAGACCGACCAACAGACAGACAGATAGATAGATAGGTAAAACATATAGAAATATAGATTATTGAGGCTAAAAAAAAACAAAATTGTGTTGCTAAGGCTTGACATATCCAAAATCTAAACAAGTTCTCGTAATCCTAAAAGCTCCGATGAGGGCAGTATACTAGAGGCAGTAGAGTATATTGCCCCTAACGGCCATCCATACAAAAAAGATAGAGTAATCATTCAGCCGAGTGTTTCTAGAGTTCCTCATCGGAGCTAAAAATCGAGGATCAGCTTTAAATTTCAGTATTATTATTGTTATAGAAATAATCTGTATAAATGGATAGATAATATAACTTTACTAGTTGTACAATACCTGGTAAGAGGATACAGATGAAGGAAGTGAGACCTCTCCATACAGCCAATCATCAACCTGGCCGCCAGTCTTGGTCCAACGTACTGGGCCTAGACTTCCTCCTGTCTTGATGTACACATTCAAGGTATCAACTTGCTGTCCATACATATGATGCCTAGAGAGTTCAATAGAAGCTGACTCAATGCCATGTGTTCACAATTTGAAAGAAAGCAACTTTAAATTCTAATAGCTTCAAAACTTGAATATGCATTCTATAGACGCAAGCACGCATTCAGTACAAACTCCTTTTACATTCTCTTGAAAAAAACACCATCTAAGTCATGGTACTAATTTTCGAGATATAATTGCGTTTCAACAAAACACCATGAATCGGACCTCTTGTAGTTCTATACTCTTTGATAATATCCATGTAACAGCTAATTTCAGGCAGAAATTTATAAAACACAAGGTAAATGGGTCAGTCTTGGAGAGCGCCATTTAAAACTCATGCAAACAGCAGGATTTACTGGACCCCCATAATGCTGGCTAAGGTACTATTTCAGTTTATGGCTAAATATTTACTTGCACAAATACATGTCTACCAAATTTGTCCAAAGTAGATATTACAAATAACATTCAACTGTTCAATTCAATGGCTTGTGTAGATTTACTCACCAGAATCGAATGCACTTTTCTCCACCTGACAGAGAAGGTCCCTCCAATCTTGCCTTATCACCAGCTGCTTGGGGAGTCACCTCAATGTATACATACCATCCTTGAGCTGGGTATATAAACAACACAACATCAGTATAGCTTTGTTAAAAGAAATTTATATGGCATGTATTCACATTTTAATGACGAATTTTTATAAATTTATTGTATAATCATCAATTATCAATCAATATATTTCACCTTTTATAAAATTGTTATCTTGAGTGAGATAATACAATGTAGGCGTGAGATGTAAAATTTGAAGGTTCATGTGTGAGACTTGCGTATTATGCAGGAGAGTTGGCAGGTGTTGTTTATTAGCAATTTATTCTATTTTGAAAAACATTTTTACGATTGATTTATTATTCTTGTTTTTTTACCTGTTTCTAAGGTGTGGTCAACAAGTGGCCCAGTTTGAGGGCTTGTAGTTACACCTCTTCCCCTCAGCCAGTTAAAGTTATCGTCAGTAGCCTGTGTCCATAAACAAAAATCTGACTCAAAGTTGCAGTCGTAAGCACCAGGATTTGAAGGAGTCGTAAGAGCTGCAGTTGCCTTCACTGTTGTTGGTGGAATCGTGGTTGGTGGAACGGAGTCGTATGGATTCACTATAACATAAAAAAAAAGGATTTAACAAGTAAAAGATTTTAAAAAAAGTAAGTTTCAATAACTTAAACTCCTAACCATTTAATTCAAAATAGGTTTTGGATAAAAAAAAAAAGCAACTCAAGAGTATTCTGACTCATTGATCATGTTGAATTGGCATAATAGGAATACAGGTGTCCCTCCAATTGAAAACCACTTATGGGACTAGGATTTTCATGGTCTTTAGCAGCTTAGGTCTTTAGAAAAGTTATTATTATAAAAGATAAAAATAGACATTAATTTAGCCCCTGCAGAATGGTGTTCGTTAATTGGAGGTGGTTTTAATTAGAGGTGATCTTTAATTGGAGGGAGAACTGTATTTGGTTATGGTGCCAATATACTGCAAGTTAGGTATAGTTGTTCAAGTCATGCCTTAATCCATTCGAATTTGAAGAGTATGTTAGATAATATGACCTGAATTTTATAATTTACTTTATAATTTAATTTCGCATTTAATAGTAAATTGCCAGAAAATGTTAAAATGATGATCAAATCTAAGCAGTCTGTATGTTTAGTTCCAGTCTACTGTGTTTCTTTACTTTCTTTTTACATTACTTATAAGTGCATGACGTTGTTTCAGAATGGGGTACTATAAATATGAAGAATTATTATCATTTTTATAAAAGTTTAAAAACTTATAGCTGTATATTTAAATCGATGAATGATGAAATACCTGCACATGATGTGTAAGTACTGAACTGAATATCATCAACAGCAATATCTCCATAATAGTCAGAGCCTCTGATGGCCTCAAAAATCATCTAAAATTTTAAAAGTTATATTACAAATAAAATGTATAAGATTTTTAGGATGATCATAACATTTTCAATGCTTTAAAACATAAGATATATTTAAATCACAATTTTTTATGTAAAGTGCATTAAGCAGAGGTAAATCTGAAAATGTTCTATATAAATAAATAAATTATTATTATTATAAAATAATAAATGTGTAAGTGGTCATAATAATGTGACTTTTATATAGCGCTATTTCATTAAGATCAGAGCACTTAATGACTATTTGACCTTTGAACAAAATGCTAACTATGGCATATTATAGTAATCATACTTTTCCACTAATATATTTAGGCAATGTCTACTATAGATAAGCAACAACAAACGCTGGAATAAGAAAAGTATTCACATCACTTGCTTAGTTTAAATACGGTTTTTTAAGTTCTGTCCATAGTAGTTTCATGTGACAAATACCATATAAGGATGTAATATGACATCATCATGACCATATATAGGCACATCATGACTAAATATGGTCATGATGACATCACATCATGACCATATATAGGCACATCATGACTATATATGGGCATACAACAGTTTTTTGTCAAAGAAAATTTGATAGTGTGGACAGAGCATTAGATAGCAGCGATACCTACCACATAGTAGCCATCGGTGTAAGAGAAGGTAGTGGATCCTAGGAACCACTGATCGCCCCTATCTCCACTCAAAGTCCAAATATTGCTCTTTTCTTGTGTGAAGGGGTTCACAACGTACACATTCAAGGTTCCTATGTAAAACAAACCAAATGAACAATGTTCAATCAAAAGTGACGATTGTAATCTAATCTATGACCCAAAATATGACAAGTTTTTAATAAATAATTCTATGTTTTCCAGCATTTTTAGTGTATGTTTGGTTAAATTCCTTAAAATTAACCTCATAAGTTTATTCAGTATGTACATAGGCCTACATCTTGTGAAATTTCTGAATCAAAGGTATCCCCAATATAAACCCATCTGCAACAAAACTTACCTATACCAGTACCAAACATGTGATACCAGAAGTTAATGCATCGACTTTGAATAGGTGGGAACATCTGACTACTTAGCCACGCCTTATCACCACGAACTCTTGGAGAAGAAGTCTCAATAAACATATAATGCCCTAGACCGGTACCCAGGGTGTGGTCATTTGCTGGACCAGTGTATGAGCTGTCAGTCAAACCAGTTCCCTTAAGCCAATCGAAGTCATCGCCAAAGTGGACATTTTGCCATGTGCAGAGATCAGTTTCGAAGTTACAGTCTCCGGGACGAGGGCAGTCTCCGTTGGTAAGGCTGACATCATCAATGGCAATGTCGCTTTCATATGTAGGTGCATTAGGACCAATGACCCCTTCAAAAACGATCTAAAAATACAAATGCCAGCTCATGTTAGTATGATATGATACCATATTTTCTATAAGATTAAAGTCTTCAGTAGTCCCTTTCAATCAGTATAGATTATCTAGGGTCATCTTTTTCATTTGAATGTCATTTCAAATTGTAAACTTGCATGTACTATACATAAGGGAATCATAGCACTCTTGTTCTGTTTTCCAAGTGTGTTTATATTTAAATAAATTATCTGATAGAAAAAATAACAAGGAAGACGAACAAATTGCCAGTATACCTGAAATGTAGCGATGGAGGAGATGGTGACCTGTGCAACATGCCAATAACTGCCTTGATCTCCTGTGCTGGTGTAGATTGCTGAGCCGAGTTGGTTTCCACTTTTCTTGTACACTCTGAATGTTCCTGCATTCCGACCTGTCATGTGAAAGTAGAACTGCAGACATTGGCCTGATGTTGGTTGGTGAACATTACTGATGAGACGAGCGATCTCGTTCGACAATCTTGGAGTTGAGGATTCGATATACATGTAGTTGCCTGAGAAGAGATTAAAATTGTTCAAACAAATTTTTTTTAATACTCTGTCCACACTATCAAATTTTGATTTAAAAAAAAACTGTTGTATGATCACATATAGTCGTGAAGTGCCTAAATATGGTCAAGATGTGATGTCATCATGACCATATTTAGGTATGTCATGTTTTTGTCAAATAAAATTTGATAGTCTGAATAAGGCTTTAAACTCTTGCAACACAGGCTTCTGCAAATTTCTTTGCAGAGTTTATGCCAGGCTCAAAAAGTTTATGAGTCAAAAGTGACAAAGAAATGAAGACAAAATTACGTTATTATGTGATGCATTGTGACAGACTGCGTTATTTTCTTTGTGGGGGTGTTTAATTAAACAAAAAAATGGCAAATGTCAGTTTACCCACATAGGTATTCTTAGTAGCCTGAGAAAGAGACTAATAGGGTTGAAACAAGTGGTTCCTACATGTGAGGCTGGACAAAAAACATTATCATCTAAAAATGCAAAAAAAAAAATTTAAAAAAAGTTTACCTGCTGCTGTTTTATAAGTATGATCAGCTGTAGGCCCAGTGTTCGATGAGGGCGTGCCACCTTGTCTCCTTATCCAATCAAAATCATCAGTATTATCTTGGGTATAACCACAGATGATGGGCTCTTCGAAGTCGCAAAAGTTGGTGTACGCTGCTATGCAGTAACCGTCGTAGGTAGAGATGTCATCTAGAGAAATGTCGCCACGGTAGTCAGTACCGCGCAGTCCCTCAAATACAACCTAAAAGAAGAAAATTGACTAATATACATGAGTCAAAAATACTAGAGATAAATAATATTTGTTTGTTACAGGTGTTTTAATTTGGAATTATTGCCAAATGTTATACTGTACTCCGGTCGTTCATGTGAAAATATAACAACAGATATTGGCCAGAGTTTAACGAGAGAACATAGTAATGAGACAAGGCATCTCATTCGACAACATCTTTAAAAGCATGTGCAGTAAAGCAAAAAAATATGAGCAACAGAAGATACTAACCTGAAAGTCCTGAGTGGACTTCATATTAACTTGACCGATCTTCCAAACATTTCCTTTATCACCAACCTGGGACCAGATTGGGCTACCAAGCACACCGCCAACCTTCTGGTACAGGTTCAGGGTGTTAACATGCGTACCATACATATGATACCAAAACTGGACACATACAATGTTACCATTTTGTGTAAGGATGTTACTTTCGATTCTGGCAGTATCATTCTCAACTCTTGGGGAAGAAGCTTCGATGAATACATAACCACCAGCCGCTTAAAGAGTGAATCATGCACTTGAATTATTCTACTAGTATATCAATATGAATAAGAGTCTTGCACAACATAATGTTAAATCTTTTATTGTCGTATTTTTTTTTAGTTTATTCTATGCTATGGTGGTGGAATATCTGTGCAAAATTGAATGTGCTAAAATTCTTCTGTAAAGGTTCGCATTCCAACTACCCATCTAATTTATCAGGGTTGGTAATTGGACCTAAGTTTTGACAGATGACCAATGGCTGATAGCAGCTTGTCTGATAATGGACTTTGTTTAGAGTAATTTTGACCTAGTTCCTGCAGTACACTCATGCTCCTATCTGGAGCCTATTTACTTTAATCCAAAAAATATAGACAATGATCATGTTAAATTATGGAGAGTTTACCTGTTCCAAGGGTGTGGTCTACGGCTGGACCAGTGTCAGTAGATGATGTAGAGCCAGTAGTGAAAGTCCAATCAAATTCATCATCCTTCGCCTGGGACCAGGTATTGCATATTCCTCCACTCTCAAAGTTACAGTCCACAGGGCCAGGAGCTGAATATGAAATAGCTTTGCTAAAATATGCTGTACCTTTTCCTAATATGGTATGTTACTAACTTTTGTGAGTGGAAGTATTGCTACTGTAGATGTTGCCTTCAACATGCGTACTAACGGTTAGCTCCAGTGGTGACTCTAATATATATTTTCTGGGGGGCTGACCTGTCCGACCGGGGGACTTGAACTCTAGGCCCGAGCTGGGGGAAGGGTTTGAGAGGGTGTTCCCCCTCCCAAAATGAGATTTTTAAGAATAGGAACCTCTGGATAGCCAGAAATGACACTTTCCAGACTGTGACAGAAATGTTAGCTTGGCGTTGGCCTATTTTTATATATTTTTTTTATTCCGACTGCCTGACAAGCTCTGTCCGATTGGGTGCTTGACCTGTCGAGATGTGTATAAGAGACTCCCCCCCCCCCCCCCCAGTGGCCCTGCCACTGGTTAGCTCCCGATCTGGATATTAAGGTTCTAGTGTGAACTTAACCTTATCCAGGTAATTATTCACAGTATTCTAAGGGCAGACTCATTCAATGCATAGTGTGTTTATGAAAGAATAATTAGAATGTAGTTTGGTTTTTTACAAGCTATTTAAAACTAATCAATGCCTGGAAATTATATTACATACTGAACAACTTACGTGGAGTTGGACCAGGTTGCGTTATCGGCCCTTGTGTAGGGGCCTTAGTGGTGAATCCAGGCTGTACGGCATTGAGAGGATGACTGCCACAAACACCGACAGTAAATGTGACATCATCAATAGCTATGTCACCACTGTATCCACTTCCTCTATTGCCCACGAAGATCATCTAGTAATGAAAATTTACATAGATTAAAAAGCCAAATACTGGGAAACAGCAATGCTGTTGAAAACAATTACTGGATCTGAGTTAAAATACAAAATTGTTTGCTGGTCTTGCTTTCAGGCTCAGGAAAATGTATTATGTGAAAAAAAGTAAATTCTTGCCAAGCCATGGGGCTTATATGAGCTGGAGTTAATGCCCAGTTTCAAGTAGTGTGAAGCAGATAAGAGATTGATGCTTCATAAGGACATACTGTAAGTGAAATGCACAACGAAGGATTGAAACCCTGACCTCGAGGTTGGGGAACCAAATCATTTCCACTTCGCCAAACCTGCGATCTGAAGAAAACACCATATCTAGTACTACAAATTACCTATTTTTATTTTTATTTTATTTTTATTTCGAAAATCATCCAACAGCGGAAGCCAATTACAGGATGTCATACAATACATATAAATATATAGAAAAATACAAACAAGTGAAAGATAAATTGATTAATAACATTACAGTAAGAAATAGAATAAGAAATTTACAAAAATAAGGCGAAAAATTACATCTTAAGCTAAATATTGCAGATTCAAAAAAATACAGATAAAAATCCAAAAAAAATAAATAACAAACAAATGCAAAACAAGTAACTAATTAATAAAATTACATTACTATTAACATTATCATTGTGATTCAAACTTATTATCTATTATCACAGATATATATTATTAAAAAATAGGCATGACTCACCCTAAATTGTTTTGAAAAATGAACGCCAAGAGAAGCATCCCACCACTGGTTGCCCTGGTTACCTGACAACTCCCATAGCAGGGTTTCGGTTTTCCCGTCGGACAGTATCACCTGTAAGCTGCCAATGTCTGTGCCATACATGTGATACCAAAAGTGGAAGCACCTTCCATTTGAAGCTGTTGCTGGAATCAATTCACTTGTCAGACGTGCTGTTGTGTTTTCCACTGTGCTACTGGCGTCAATAAACATGTAGTTTCCTGTGGAAGTATAAGAAACACTGAATAAACTCTCCATCTATTTTAAAACCATGTAGATTCATTATTAAATTGTACTAAATATAATACTTTAATCCTCAAAGGCATTTATTTATAAATATTCAGGAGAAACAGAGCATGCACTCCCTATTTAATTATGCTGTGCTGAATTGAATATCCACAAGAGGTCAAAGTTCAACATATCATGGATATTGGTCACAAAAACTGTCACAGTGCGGACAAAGTCTTTAAAAAAAATGCTATGAGAATATCATTCCTAATTCATTACTTTAATGAACTAATTAAGTCCAGAAAATTAAAAGTAAACAATGCTTACCTTTATCTGTTCCAGTTGTGTGGTCAATGTCTGGTCCAGTACCGATAGAGGGCATACCACCAGTTCCTCTCATCCAATCAAAATCATCAGTTGCTTCATTTGACCAGGCACAGAAACCAGATTCAAAGTCACAATGGCCAGGATCGGGACAGCTGTAGCCCAGTAATTTTACATCATCAACGGCAATATCGCCAGTAAAAGTGGTTCCCACAATGCCTTCAAATACAATCTGGGGAGAGATGGCGTGAACATTAAAATATTTTGAAAATATACTGGAATACAATATCTGTGTTTCGTTGCTGTTGTTCTTATTTTCTTGGAAGTTTTGTATTGCAGCAGTTACGGCCTTTGGGCTTTCAATCATGAGGTCATTTTGAGACTGGCACTGGTCACACTGGCAAGGCAATTCGTTTACATTTGCCTCTCTTCTCAAAAGAATATGTACGAGTACAAGCTAGGAAGTGAATGATTTGGAATGAAGTTAGTAGTACTTAATTACAATCATAACTATGAAACAATAATAAACAATTTAAGCTAGTCTATATATAATGTGCTACCAGTGTTTCTATTCTATACCCATAACTAGGAACATTCTACAGGTAGTAGAGGGGGTTTAGTATGACTTTGTATCCATGTATGACCAGGGAAAAAATGATCTTGAGCAATTCTTCTGAAATAGGTATATGCACTATACATATACTATTAAATAGAAGAAAACAAATGTAACCATCACTTATAAGTGGTGGCAGTAATTTTAAGCAACAATATCAGTAACTGTAGTAGTAGCAGTAGTAGAAATAGTGTAGTAATATCAGCAGCAGAAATATTAATATATTTTATACATCATCAACAACAGCATCAACAATATATTAATACTAATAATGGTTGTAGTATCACAAACTGGATCTGTTTCGGGCATATAAGATCAGGCCCATCCTTTGCAGGGCCTTGCCATATGGCTTAACCTTTGTCCTGCATCCTCTAATAAAAAAAGAAACAGATGTCACATTCACCTGGAAGTCTTCTGTGGTGAAGACATTTACTCGAGCCCCACGCCACTTGTTACCCTGGTCTGTACTAAGGCTCCAGATCGGAGTACCCATGCCACCGTTAGCTGTCTTGAAGAACACATTCAGCGTGCCAATACTTGCACCATACATGTGATAGTAGAACTCCAGACATTCGCTGGTGGTTTGGCGGTTGAGAGGTGATTGGAGTAAAGCATTGTCACCTTTAGTACGTGGGGCAGATGTCTCAATGTAGACATAGAAGCCTAGAAGACAAATGGATATTGTATTACAATGTAAAAGAGTATTCATAAAATGTACTGTTTATAATAGTGGACAGGAGGAAACCACAGACATGCAGAATTTCATGTATTAGAACATGCTGCTTGAAGGTTCTCTTCTTTCAGATGGTGTTCTCATATACATAACTCTGTACAAAGAACTAAACACACTAATCATAAAACAAATAGAGAAAGGTAACACGGTGTACATTTTATTTCACTTCTTGCCATGTCGTACCGTTCATAGATTACTATATCATTATTACTGTTTTTATTATCATCTCACTCTTATTTTTACTGTTGTTGGTATTATTGTCACTGTTTTTGCTGTTTTTATCATTTTTAGTGTCATTGTTGCTGTTGTAATTATTCATGTCATGTTCAGGTATGTGTTTATGAAGTCATGTCGTAACCTAGGCACCATGCAATGGACGTCATTTTATGGATTTAACCTTTCAGAAAAAGTCTTTGTTTCCTAGGCACCATGCAATGGACAAAAACAGATGGAAGTAAAAATGCACGGTGGAACTAAATTTCTATGATGCGTGATGAAATGGGGTTAATAACCAATGTCACGTGATACGAAATCCACCAATCACATAATAATAATAATAATAATAACATGACAAGGATCTATTTAGGTGTGTTATAAGAACCCATAACCAATGGCCTGAATATAATATATGAATCAGACCGAAACGTGTTCACTTGTTAAAACCCATACCAACCTTTATTGGTGCCGTACGTGTGATCGTTTGAAGGGCCTGTGCCAGTACTGGATGTGGAACCACTCTGACGAATCCAATCGAACTTGTCACCATTAATATTAGACCATCCACACATTGCTGATTTTTCGAAGGTACAGTCTGAATTCCCAGCTGCTGGGGGCAGTGTATATGTGGTACAATCACCATAGCCAAGAGCAATGTCGTCTAGCGCGATGTCACCAAAATAGCTTGACCCTTGGAAGAAAGAAGTCTAACTTATTAGTTTTGCTATCATATAAATAGTATCACAGCTCCATGTCTTTATTTCATTGAATTATTTATAGCCACAATTGTACTTTTGTTAGTGTATTTTTTTAGAATATTAATATATATTTTCTTATGTCTTATTTAGGCCTATATATATATATACTGACTGACATGCATAATTTCTTAAGATTTTTGGTTCACTAATATCTACAATGTTCTCCCAATATGAAAAATACTTGATTAATTCTGGTATAGGTATTATGGCACACTATCATTCCAAAAAGATATTTAAGCCTTTTCTAATAGTTCTCCCAATATGAAAAACACTTAATTAATTCTAGTACAGTCAACTCTCTCAATACCGACCACCCAGAAAACCGGATTTCACGCAAAACCAGTCGTTTTTTAAAGTCCCAAAATCATTCCTATTCTTACTGTATTAAAATACTTTCTGAAAACCGGATCTCCCAATTCCGACCAAATTCTTAAGTCCGGAACAATAAAATTACCTTCTGAAAACCGGACGGCCAGTTTAAAACGATGATTTATTGACGAAATATGTTAAATAAATCATCGGAGACACATCGACTGACTCCAAATAACAACTATCAATCACAGAACAACACCACGTGAACAATCGTTAGTGTTGATCGTGTGACACGCCAATAGCGCATTAATTAATTAATTGCAATAAGCCTAGATTTCATTTGTTTAATAAACAGATAAAAAAAAGTTCATGAGTGTGTTTTCTTTATTAAGGAACGTATCCTTTTCTCACATTTTGCATTCATTCTCACGCTAAGGCAAACCAAGCGGTCCCAACATAAGGCTATCGATTTCATAAAAACAATTGCGCATGACACTTTGACTGTCACCTCTGACTGTTTTCTATTGGCTGACGCAGTTTAGGGGGTGCTGCATAAGTTAGCACTTATTTTTAGCATTCAGTGACCCACCAAGGTTATGCCAGCGGCATCGAAAACCAATCAAGTGTGCAACCACGTTGAAGCGACGCAGATTATGGCGATCGAACGAAAAATAACACTGACACTTATTATAAATTACGATACACATTAAGTTGATTTGTGTAAATTTTTATTGATAATTGACAACATAAATAATGTAAAAATAAAGTAAAACATGAATGACGTTCTCAGGTCAGTAGGCCTACAAAGTACATGATGCAGTGTGGTGTACCTATCTGCTGTACCTTGCTAGGCCTAGGCTTATTATCGACTCAAGGTCGGGGAACCAAGGTAGGTAAACATGACGTTCTCTAAACCGGAAAACCGGTCAAAGTGGACGGTCCGAAGGGTGGTCGGGATTGGGAGAGTTGACTGTATAGGTATTATGGCACACTATCATTCCAAAGAGATATTTAAGCCTTTAGCCCTATGTGAAATGAATTATCATTGTTATTATGAGACTCACAGTCTTGTTAAAGAACACCCACCTGGTGATACAAGCTTTTCATGTTTAAATGAATAAGTAATATTAACATCAATGTGTACATTCCACATTTAATACAAAATGTTTGCTGAGCAAATGAGCACACCTTGTGCTAGCCTATAAGTACAATTATTAGACAGTTTTTATTTTTGTTGAAGGGGTGTTCTTAAAGGAACAGTGGCAGTTAGTTGGTTTATCCAGGTTAAGTATCATGAAATAAATTGAGCACACCTTGTGCTAGCATATATAAGTACAATTATTGGACAGTTCTATTTTTGTTGTAGAGGTATTCTTAAAGGAATGATAATCAGATTTCACTCTTACCTCGAATGCCTTCAAAAACCACCTCCTCAAATCCGCCATCAGGCACATCAACAAATGCTCCATACCAGTTGTTGCCTTGTGTCTGCGATTTGGTCCACACGGGTGAGCCCAGCTGACCAAACTTCTGGAAGTATACGTTTAGAGTGTCGACAGTGGAGCCGTACATGTGGTACCAAAACATCAGACACATCTGTGAAGTGATAGACATTGTCGGTGTGGATATGCGAGCTTTGTCACCAAGGACACGAGGCGATGATGTCTCTATGTAAATGTAGAAACCCTCTATAAACAAAAACAAAAAAAATCAAAATTAACACCTCATGAAACATTGAATAAAAATTTGATTTGATAATCTTTAAATTTCCAGCTTACCTAGATAAATATGTTAGTATTTTTTTTTTGATGATCCAAAAATATTTGAACAAAAACATTAATTGACGTTTTATTCTGAAAAAAAGTTTTTTAATCAAACAATTTTGGATCATCAAAAAGAAATTCTAACAAATACACTTTAGAGATCCAGATGAATCTTTTCACTAATTACCTAGACGAAATGATATATTCCACATTTCACTTGTCTTACATACAGCACACTGGGATGAACAATTCCACTATTTTTTACATACAGTAAGTTTTGCATGTAAAGAAACAGTATCTTGCCTACTGTTATTCTTTTTATTGTCTCTAAATAAATTTTAATTACTATAACATTATGTCAGAGAACCACTCCCATCCAGTAATTAACAAATAAATATAAATCACTAAAATTTTTATAAACAGTAGAAAACACATAGAGTAAATATATATACATCAGGCTAAAAGTACTAAAAAAGTCAGTAAAATTATAGGAAATTTTATTTAAAAATTGTATCGTCATGAGTTGACTTTATAATTTGTACTAGACTACAATCATTCTAATAAGTATGTTCAAATGTAAACATCCTGAAATAATATTTCTGTGACTGGATCGAATATAGTACACAGCCCCATATCATTCATGATGAAACACACCAACTGATCATCACAATGTACTGTCACTGCCAATATGTTGTGCTATAATGTTAGCACTTACTTCCGCTTGTATGATCACTAGTGGGACCAGTTGAACTAGATGCTGTCGACCCTTTTTTCCTTGTCCAATCAAATTCATCGTCTTTCGATTGATTGTAGCCACAAATACCAGATTCAAAATCACAGTCAATGAGGCTGGGAGCTGTAACATGAAGAAAATAAACAGTTTGGTATATGGCTATGCTTTGTCAAGCAATCAAGTTATTGGCCGAAAGCGGGGACCGAAACACTGAAGTAGGAGGTCCGGGGGCATGCCCCTGCGAAATTTCTGTGTTTTAGACGCCCGAAAATAACATTTGAGGCGTTCTGGGCAATCGTTTTTTTCTTTCTTTTTTTTACCTCCCAAATGGGGGGGGGGGCCGGGGCCGGGCCGCCCCACCCCCTAAATCTTCCCCTGGATTTTGTGTAGTGTTAACACACACATTGCCATTATTTTCACTGTTCGACCGAATATTATTTAGCATGCCGGCCATATTTTCGGAGGTCATGTTACTTAAAGAATCATAACTTCTTAACGGAGGGTCATATCGACATAATTTTTTTTTTAAAATGTTCGCAAAGAATATATCTAAGTACTGTATGAATAACAAAAAAAATTAAAATTTGTTTAGTCTGTCAAAACTTAATTGAAATAATAGCAATATGCACTGTACAAAATCAGTTTTCTATTTTCCAGTTTTGACAGACTAAACAAATTTTAATTTTTTTTTATTCATACAGTATGCAGATACATCCTTTGCGAACATTTTAAAGAAAAAAATATGTTGACACGACCCTCCGTTACGGATATATGATTTTTTGAGTAACATGACCTCCGAAAATATGGCCGAAATGCTAAATAATATTCGGTCGAACAGTGAAAATAATGGCAATGTGTGTGTTAACACTACACAAAATCCAGGGGAAGATTTAGGGGGTGGGGCGGCCCGGCCCCGGCCCCCCCCCCCCATTTGGGAGGTAAAAAAAAGAAAGAAAAAAACGATTGCCCAGAACGCCTCAAATGTTATTTTCGGGCGTCTAAAACACAGAAATTTCGCAGGGGCATGCCCCCGGACCTCCTAGACAGGATTTGAACCTGCAACCTCTTGCTGTAATAGTGTACCTGACAGTTATTTGAATCTGTTCAACCATGAAGCCTCTGTGGTTTAATGGTTATGATGCTCGCTTTGACAGCGAGAGGTTGCAGGTTCGAATCCTGTCGGAGTATTTTATAACACAAAGTATGTATTTGTTTATAGGACAACATTCGTTGAGAGTTATGCTACACAATGTACCATCATGTCCTTTATTCGAACACTGTATTTACCTTTCTTGATGATTTAGATATAATTTAACAGTGTTAATGGCTATCTTGATTTATAGTTTATACTTTTTAATGGCAAATAACAGATATTTGTCACATAAAAACTGATAGTGTATACAAAGTTTAAGAATGATCACAAGACAATCATTGGAATAAACTCACCAGGTGATGGGGTAGTAGCAGTGTTTGCTGGTGGGTAGGTGACTGATGGGAAGGGGGTCGGAGGCATTGCAATCTGCGGAACCAGTGCGCATGGGGTCTGTCCATCAAGTACTAAATCGTCAATAGCAATGTCACCGCTGTTACCATTGCCAATTTCAGCTATTATGACAATCTGAAAAATTGTGTAACATCAGCTCTCAATTTGAGCATATTATAAAACACACCATTTAAAACACACCAATCAGTGATATTAATTCAAAGAATACAACTCTCATGTCACCATGATATATCATTAACATGGACAGCACTTACACTATGCCTCTCAAAAAAAATGTAAAAAAAAAGTTTTCCATACCTTATGTTGCAGATTGGAAACAATTGGCACTTGAGCCATCATCCACTGATCTCCTTGGTTACCATGTATCTCCCATTGTGTGTCTGGCGTAACATCTTGGCCATCCCAGTAGTCAAGTTCAACTATGAGTTTGCCAGCCGAAACGCCGTACATGTGGTACCAGAAATGGAAGCAGACATTGCTGGTGGTTGGGTCAAACGACTTGCTCATTAGGTATGCGCGATCACCGGGGTAGCGGCCAGTCGCATCCACAAAAAGGTATGTTCCTTAAAATTATAAAAATATATTATTAGAGATTCACCAGATTTAAAGCACTGTCCAGACTATCAAAGTTTTTTTTAAAAAAACATGTGACATGCCTAAATATGGTCATGATGACATCACATCATATCATGACCATATATAGGCACATCATGACTATATAGGGGCACATCATGACCATATATAGGCACATCATGACTATATATGGGCATACAAGATGTTTTTTATAAATAAAATTTGATAGTCTGGACAGAGCTTTAGATGCATGATTTTAATAAGCCATCTTGTAATTTTAAGTGTGGATGCCTATGTTGTGTTTTGCTGGGATGTATAAGAAAAAGAATATTAATACCACTGAGCAGAATATTGATGGTACTTACCATTGGTACCGGAAGTGTGGTCCTGACTTGGACCGGTATATATTGTATCGGTTGCACCACTCCCCTCGATCCACTCGATTGAATCAAAACTGTAGCCATTAACATTTCCCCAAGTACACATACCATCCTCAAAATCACATGACCCTGAAAGATGATTTTAGAAATGAGAATAGTAATGAAATTATACTTATGGCAACAATGATATATCCTAACTATTTAGATGCAAATGGTATGATTCACACTACTTCACTGTCAACCTGCAGATTGACTAAAAACTCACCCTTCACTAATACATACATGTTTATTGCATGATAGTAACTTTAGTATTTAGAAACACCTCTACTCATGATTATTATCACTTTACTGCCTAGGTACGCTAGTCACTGGTAGCCGAATATTCTAACAAAGAATAACTAATAATAATAATAATAGTAATTGCAGTTAAACATAATGAGGATGACAATGTGATTAGCAATAATACGCTGGGGCAAACAATATAGATGAATTCTGATACACCAACCTGGATTTGGACAAGCGCCCTCTCTGATGGTAACATCGTCAATTGCGATATCTCCTCTTGCACCATTTCCAATGATTCCTTCAAACACCACCTCAAAGTCTGAATCAGCAGTCAGTGACAGTTGATCTATGTTCCAGATATCACCCTCATTTGAAGACTTTGACCAAAGAACAGAGGACAGTATACTGTTCTTCTGTTGGTAGATGTTTAGAGATCCAATGTTAGGCCCATACATGTGGTACCAGAACTCGAGGCAGACAAAACCCTGTCTTGCCTTGTAGGTTGGGGAGTACAGCTGAGCTACGTCTCCTTTGGTTCTTGGTGTTGATGTTTCAATATACATGTAATGGCCTGAAACAAAATTATCAAACAAAAACGGTTTTTGGGTTTAGGTAAAATTCAAGACCAAAAATACATCAGCATTAAAATCTTTCTAAAAAATATAATTGCACTATGTATGAGATTATTACACCGTATTTAAAATAAAAGCATTTAATTGGTCTCACCATATCCAGTTCCATAAGTATGATCGTTAGTTGGACCAGTATCTGTTGAGGTAGTTGCACCATATCCTCTTGTCCAGTCAAAGATGTCTCCTGTGCTCTGGCGGAACCCACACAAGAGCTCAGACTCGAAATCACAAGTCGCAGAAAATGGCAAGGCAGTTGGAGCAGCAGTAGCGACAACTATGCAGAAAGACCAAAGTTTGTAAAAACAATAGCCTGCCTAATTACATTTATCAGTCATCTTTTAGAAGGTTATTTCTAAAAGCAGGTTAATTTTTAATACATTAACTCTTTCCAGTCTGCCCCATTACCATTGCCTGAGGCTGTACCGAAGCTGAGAAATTACATTATCTACACTAAATGTCGGGTTTTTAATGGGTGTAGGATTCTTATGTGGTCTGAATACAGGAGGCCCTCTACAGAAATACTCCTACATCACTCTCAAACAATCCTATAGAGAGCAGCCTAGCTATAAAACAATTACCATGAAATCTATACAGGGCGTACGTACAACGCCACTCGCTATAAAGTATGGTCAAAGAGGGCGTCCTTGCGACGCCATACAACTGGAAAGGGTTAAACCATATTTTTAGTTACTTGGTATGTCAAGATTAATCCCTCAGATTGGATTTTTTAGGAGTGAACACCAAGGATAATCATATAAGTCTGGAGACTAATTTCCAGTGGGGTCCTTCTGATGGTTATTGGGCAGTTATACACTGGAAGGCAATAACCCCAACATTTTGTAGAATAGTGCACTTGGTCTTTAACATGCACACTGGCTATATTGCACACAGGGCCAACAATTTAATGCCTCATCTAAAAGAACGTGTTTTATATTTTATATACTTGCCCTGCAGCTGAAACACACAAGGAGAGCAGTGGGTGGATTAAACCAGGTACCACTTAGGTAGTCTAACAATGGGTCTCTATGGTTCAGTTTACACACAGTGGCTACCACTAGTTTAACAAAACTGAGTAATGATGCTCTCACTACACAGAGATGAAAATCTTCAGTTGCATGTTACTTGTTGGTATGTTATACTTACTATTGACATAGCAAAAGTTTAGAATAATATTACTGAATCTTACTTGGAGGACAGGCACCATCAAGTAGAAGAACATCATCAATAGCAATGTCACCATAGAAGTTACTTCCTCTGATCCCTTCAATCACAATCTACAAAAACAAAATAGAAAAAAAAAATTATACAGAATATTTCATGAGATTCAATAGCTTGATTTGTCGTTTGATCATTATCAAGAATCAAATTGCCCATGATGCAAAAAAAAAGATTGTGTTATAAATATTATAAAGTTAGTCAAGTGCTTACAAGCATTTAATTTTACATACAGTAGTTTCTACTTTTAAAGCCTCATCATAATCAGATTTGGCTACAGGGCAGCAAAGTTCCCAAATGACCTATAAACAATTATTCTAAGAGGCTTAGTAGAGTAGAGAGCAGATCTTTTAGACCCTTAATGCTCTATCACCAAGTACAAAGTCTCTTTAAAGCCCCTTTCAGACAGAAAATACAGCAATAATACCCTAATCACGCCGCCGTTATTGCCGACGCAGACCCTTTCACACAGCTAGTTAAAATACGGTAATAATACCGTATCCTGTCTGAAAGGGTTCTCGCGGAAAGGAGTATTTGATGTCTGTGGCGCTTGTGCTTGTTAACAAAGAGGGAGCAAGTTTTTGTTTACTCCATTAATCCAATATGGCCGGGGGTGAAGTCACAAAACTGCTGCTTTGCAAATGTTTTTTAATGCTTGCGACCCCCTGCTTCTCGTCCAATCAAAGACATCAGTTTTGACCTGAGTCCATGCACATATGTTAGTTTCGAAGTCACAGTCTACAGGGCTGGTAGCAAAAGTTGGCGGTGCAAATGTTGGGCCTGGTGTAGGTGTCACAATTGGTGTCCCAGGTGTGGGTGGGACAGCTCCAGCTGGTAAGACTGAGGAGAAACAATGTGTGGGGTTTGAATGTTATCCTAATAGGCACGCTCACCTATGGTTCCTGTGGTGGAAAATGTCTTCTCACATACGGACTATAAATTATAGTCCCACTGTACATAATTTGGCTTGTCGACTTTCAAAGCGGGATTGCTGCTAGTGTTCAGGGAATTTTATTGAATGATTAATTTTTATCAAATTACAGTCATAAACTTATTAACATTTAATGCAATTCGTTTCTGGCCTACTGTTGTTTGTCAAGGGTGAGCTTTTGGTGTTTTAATGATTTGTATTTTTGTATGTCTTGAACTATTCTTCTGAGCTCTATTTCTGGTTGTTTTATTGAGTAAATTGAAATGGATTGAAAATTGACTGAAATTGATAATACAGTATTTGTAGGTGGCCACAGAATTTCACCAGTCTTGAAAAAACTTTTACGCTACCAAATATTACATATTTCTTTTTATAAACTATAAACATTTTTTTTTAAATGTAACTTACTGCCACAGGTTGAATCTAAGAATGTGATGTCATCAAGGGCTATATCTCCAAGGTAACCATAGGCAATCACAGCCTCAAACATCACCTGTATGTAAAAAAAAAAACAGTCAAACAGTCACACCTGATTTTTAAAATATACAATGTTGTCTTTGTATCCATGTTAAAAAACTACTATGTAGTTGAAGCTACACATATTTTTTCCATAATGCAACAGAGGGAACAAATGAGACTACTGTATGGTCATGTGGGCAATAAGAGAAGCCGGGGTAATAATAATAATAATAATAGGTTGATTTTTAAGGCGCAAATTAAACAAGGTCTCTAAGTGCCATGTCTAACAAAAGGTACGGTGAACATACAGTAATGAAAAAGCAGAAGAAAGACCTAGAGTTTGCTGGTGCAATAACATTGAAATACTGGGTCAACATGTCATATTCTGAGGAAGTGAGAAGAGCATGGAATAGAGACAAGTGGCAAGCATTTGCATTGATTGAAATATTAAAGAGGGCCCCTGAACATCAACTGGCCTTCGGGTCATGCTTGAAAGGTTAAATTCTATAAAGTTTAAATAAAATATAAAAAATTAATCCAACCCTCAACCAGAAGATGGAACTTAAAAAGAAAGTTTGGTCTAAATCTCTCTTACCATGTAGTTGAAGGAGCTAACGATTGGCACCTGCCCCTGCCACCACTGATCCCCATCATCATTTCCATAGATCCAGATCAGCTGTCCGTCACTGGTTCCAGGCAGCATCTTCTGGTACACGTGTAGTTTGCCAATGTCTGCACCATTCATGTGGTACCAGAACTTGAGACATCGACCAGTTGATGATGTCGGGGAGAAAGGCTGGCTGAATAGTTTAGCAGTATCATCAGATTTTCTTGGTGATGATGCCTCAACAAACAGATAGACACCTATTTCAAAAGTAATTTTATTGTTCACGTAAGAGTATAAAATTTTGATCAATGTTTCTAAAATATGAAAAAAATTTTCATATTGAACACAATCTAGGGCTCAAAATTATCTAGCAAAAGTTGTTAATTAAAAGAGCAAGTCATTGTTGTTTATATCAAGAATGTTTACCATTAAATAGTATAAATATAAGCAATATACAAATTGTCAATTTAATTAACAGCTTTTAATAGGTAAATGTGATATTAATTAAAACAAATGGTATTGTGCTATAATAGAATGGAAATAAAATGATAAAAACTATACCTTGTGCAGTGCCTTTTGTGTGGTCAACACTAGGTCCAGTTCCTACACTAACTGTGCCTCCATTGCCCAGTGTCCAGTCAAAGTCATCTCCACTCTTAGCATTTACCCATGTACATAAGTCATTGTTCTCAAAGTCACACTCTCCTGTAGGGATAATAATTAGTTTATTTATTTGAGTATCTGTTTATTTGATTGTTATTGCTTTATTTGTTTATGTGTTTTACTACGTTTATTACACTGGTATTTAACTGTTTATTTGAGTATTAACTTTTAATCGCATAATAAAACAAAAATGTTGAGAGCAGTATCATGTGAGACTAACATGGCACTAGTACTATACTATAACTGGGCATATCCCCATCTCCCCACCCACAATATTTAGAACTACGTCCTTTAACAAGGAGAAACATATGGTTGAGAGAAAGGGAAGGTATATTCCTACCTGGTCTCTGGAAGGGTACGAATGATACTAATTTCTTTCTTTCTTTATTGTATACGCAAAAAACAAACAAATTGTATACAATAGGAGCCAACAAATAGACAAGCATAATCGAGCTTGGCCCCTTTCTTAACTATCCCCCTCAGCCCCAATAAATAAAATAGAATAAAATAAATATATAAATAAAATAATGAAAATAAATAAATAAATAGGCATCAATCTTCATACTCGGAATAAATTAATTTTTTCAGTTTTGAAACAAATACATTCCTCGAGGTAGTCTCTCCTTACTTAACAGGTATTGTATTCCAGAGTTTAGCACCCATATACGAAATTCTAAATTTACCTAAATTAGTTCGGCATTTTGATATGGCTAAATTATATTCGTAATTAAACCTTGTTGCATAACTATGACAAATATTTTCAAAATAATCAGATAAACTATGTGGTAATGTGTTATTAAATAAGTCTGATATAAAATTCAAAATATATAATTTATGAAACTTAAATACGTCTAAAATGTTAAGTTAATTAAATACTAACCTTGGGATGAACATGCCCCCATGTAGTTATCGATATCATCAATGGCAATATCACCCTTAGGGCCATCAGCAACGATTGCTTCAAAGTAGATCTGATAGGTTGAAGCTGCTGTGAACGAGACTGCGGCAGCATTCCACATGTCGCCCAAGTCACCATACATTGAAAAGATTGGATTACTTAGCTTGCCGTTCATCTGAAATGGAAAGTTAAGAGAGCTATCGTGATTGACTTCAAATACGATAGCGCTATCTGCTACGCCACACAGTTCGGATATTGTTTCTAAGGTCGGACAAAGCAAAAGCATAACTTGTATGTAACATATATGTTACATACAAATTATGTTACATACAATAGCATAATTTTACCAAATGATAGATGACACAATAAACCACTAATAAAATTCAAAAATATGACGATACTTTTGAGAACGATCATTTCAGGCAATGCCTGAAAACTTTATTAGGCCTAACCATTGCTAGGCCTTACGCTACATACATGTTTCGACAGATGCTACTGTCATCATCATTAATAAATAATAGCATAATTTGTATGTAACATATGCGTTTGTGGGACAGATTGGTCAGTTATTAAGTTTGACTGACACTCTGGAAACGTCCATTTGTTATAAATCACAGAAGAGTGCTGCGAGTCAGCAATAGGGAGTTTTCGTACTTCTTCAGCGTTTACATTCATACGTGTAAAACGCTGAAGAAGGACACGGGCGTGTCCGAAATATTCGTCTTGAATAAATAAACCTTTATTCGGCTCTTAAGGGGAAACTCTCTTGTCTATGATTTCCCCTTAACGTCGCTTTAGTTTCCCCTTAGCGACACTACTTTCGCCTTATAGTACTGTTTTTAACCACTTCATTGTTTTAGTTTCCCCCTATGGATACTTCTATTAAAGTATATATATATATATATATATATATATACATACATACATACATACATACATACAGAAGAGTACTGTGAGTCAAAATTAGGGAGTTTTTGCAGCTTACGAAAATTATAACGAATACAGATACGTCATCAAACTTTTATAAAACCCTTCAACTACAGTAGCAGATCTGTAACAACGTAGGCAATTCATGTCTTTTGCATGAATCAAGGATCTTATTCAGCTCATACAGCATATTGTCAAGTATGTTTCAGGCACGAATGACGATAATGATAATGACGTATTCGTATTCGTTATCGTAAGGTTCCAAACAAGCAGTGGTGCATGGGATCGTACTAACCATGAGGTAGATGTTCAAGTAGCCAACATGTCTGCCATACATGTGGAAGTAGAACTCTAAACACTGACTGTTAGATGCTGGGAAGGTGTGTGTATACAGCCAAGCTTTCTTGCCCTGAGATTGTTCTGATGATGCGATGAACATGTATTTGCCTACAGAGAATGTAAGGGAAACCTTGAGTCACAGAAAATAATCAATTGTATTTGCTTTACACAAAAATATAAATTTGATAAAATTAATAATAACACAAGCAAAATTTATCCATTTTGGAACACAATAATAAGAAGCTAATAAGTGTGCAAAAATTCTGGTGACCGTAGATTTTCCCAATTTTCGATTTTCTGATAAGATGTTGTTTACAATCATGCTAAACAAAATAAAACTATAACATTAATAGGATATGAGCCTTAAATGTGATCACCTATATCAGCAAATGGTAGATTGTAACTAATGGAAATTTGAGGTCAGAGATCAAAAGACTTTCAGCACCACTGTAGCTCAAATTAAAGATACTGTGTAACTAGCACAATATGTACCTGCATCTGTCCCAGTTGTATGGTCTGTACCTGGGCCGGTATTCAATGTGGAAGTTGTACCACTGCCCAGCTTCCAATCAAAATCGTCAGATTGGCTTTCTTGATCATACCCACAGTAGGCAGTGCCGTATTCAAAATCACACTGCCCTCCAAAAGCGCCAGGACTTGGTGTCACTAGATTAAAATATAAAAATAAATCAGATTCACTAAACATTTCAACACATTCTGTAAAAGTAAATTTTATGTGAATTTTTTCATCCATAAACATTCTGGCTATAGCCTAAAATATCAGACAAGACCCAAAATCTATTTTTGTCATCAGAGTTAACTTAAGGTAGAATGACCCATAGCTCGCAGTGTCATTGTGCTGAATTGCGTATGCATGGTTTGTGACTGTCTAACTGCTGTAAAGAGGTGCTTATAGTAACTACATGTTCACATCATTTCACAATGACAGAGGTTGAACATAAAGTCCTAGAAGTTTGGCAAGTTTTGAGCCTAGACCTCAGTTTTGGAAAACAAACACCTTCACCTACCAGACTACGACACCATATTTAACGTACCTGCGGAGCAATGCTTGCTTTCTATGATGACATCATCAATAGCAATATCAGACTGGGTGCCCCCTCCCCTTACTGCTTCAAATACCACCTAGTAAGGAATGCAAAATACATTTTATTGTTAATTTCTTTCACATTTAACAGCAGGTACAGAATTAAAATAAAATGATAGAACAATGCTTTATAAACTAAGTTTATTTATGGAACTTAGAAAGTGAATGTAAGAAAGGTTAAAAAAAAGAAACAAAAGAAAAAGAAACTAATAAAACCCCTGAAAACTTAAAATTTGACTTCCATGTGACAGATAAATACAGCCACACAAGTTATTAACTTTCATTATTATCCTATTTTAGGGACCACAGTGGAATTAGGGACCACAGTGGAAATAAGTTGCTTTTTGTACTTTTCTGCATTTTTATCCTTGTAATGTTTTTACTATTGATTACTTTCAGAATGAATAAATAAATAAAAAAAATATCTGTTATTATTAAGTATCAATTCCATAACCAAACAATAAAAAAGAAAAGCAGACTCACATTATATTGCTTTCCAGTTGAAATTCCTATACTCTCAGTCAACCACTGATCACCCTGCGTCGCAGAACGAGTCCACACAGGCGATCCAAGGTTAACTCCGGTTTGTACGTAGACATTAAGCGTACCAATATCGCTGCCGTGCATGTGGTACCAGAATTTTAGACACATACCGCTCCCGCTAGGGCTGATGTCAGCACTGATGATACGGGCCTTGTCCGTTGAACTTGCACGGTTAGCCTCAATATACAGGTATGACCCACTTCCAGCTAAAAAAATAATAACCAATTTAAAATAATAAGGATCAAGAAAAATATTTTTAAAATTGTAATGAGCGTAATATACATGCTGATAATGAGGATTATTGTTCCTATGTTACAATAATATGAATACTACCACATCAACTAAAATAATTATAATAAAACAATATAACAATACTGTATATATAGTAATAACACCAACAACAAAGGTGATGTAATGTATAGTAATATTTGAAGCTGATCGATCACACCAGAAATATAATTCAGGTAAAAAATCATTTATTTAGGAAAATAATTTTTTCATAGTATACTGTTTTTAATCAATGGACTTACATGAGCCACGTGTGTGATCATAAGATGGTCCAGTATTACGAGTGGCTGTTGCTCCCTTTGCTCTCGTCCAATCAAAATCATCTGTTGGATCTTGGGTGTAGCTACAAAATCCAGCTTCAAAGTCACAATTTCCTGGACCAGATGGGATGACAATATTTGCTGTGGTGGGGATGACGCTTGTCGGAGCAAAGGTCGGTAGTGGTACAGCATTGTTTGGCTTGCCTAAAAAAAAACATCAAATGAAGGATAAATATACTACTGTATGCATATTATGTAATGTAATGTAGATGGATTTATATAGCACGGGTCTGGCTCTTGCTGTAACTTTCTTCTCCCCTAAGGTTCTCTTTGTGTCTAAGCTACCAGGAAAACCAGTACCAGCTACTCTCATCCATCCACAGTAAGGGCTGAATGAACCAGTACACCAGGGTAACCCCCTACTCGTCTCGAATGATGTACTGGGTTCTTTAGAGTGCACATGAGCCAAATTATGCGCACTGGGCCTACGATGTGGTTCTTATCCGAGAAGACTTGTTCCAAAAGAACCATAAGCTGGCAGTTGACAATGTTATTCTTTTGAATAATCATCATGATTTTAAACTCTGACTCCAATTTAAGCAGGTTTTGGTTGAAAATAAGGGGTTGTTTTGTAAGAACTATTATTGTGCCTAAAGTGAGTTCAAATCAAGGACTATCAGAGAATCATATTTCTAAAATTGCATTTGTTTATAATTACCAACACAAGAAGTGGTTCCAAAATGGATATCATCCACAGCTATATCAGATAACGTAGTACTGCTACCAACTGTGCCTTCAATCAAAACCTGAAAATACACCACCATATGTTAAATTCAATTCCAGTTTATCAACTTTTATTTGACCAAAACATGCGTAAATATGGTTATGGTGACATCACAACATGACCATATATAGGCACATTATGACTATATATGGGCATACAACAGTTGTGTGGACAGAGGTTCCACTTACAATATAAACATGTGTTTTGAGAAACAGAAATTTCAAAACAAAAGCACTGTTTCTGCTCAGAAACAAAAGCTAAAATAATGTCTATTTCCTTTTCTAAAGATAATATATTGCAAGTCTTGCTTTTAAAATAAAGTACTGCATAATGATTATTTTTTATATACAATAGTGTACTTCAATGTAATTTTTTTATTTAAAATGTTACTTATTACTACTATCATATATAACTTAACCTACACTGTAGGCATAATCTTGACGAACAGACACTTGTCCAAAGTTCCAGTTAGAGCCCTGGTCACCAGTAAGTGACCACTTTACATTTCTCTGACCAATGATGTTTTGGACAATGGTCAGTGTGCCAGCATTGCGCCCTTGCATGTTGTACCAGAATGAGAAACATCGTGCTGTGTTGGCAAGAGCACTGAATATCGGGCTATTAAGTTGTGCTTTCTCATTCAAAGTCTGCCCTGAGATGTCCAGATAGAGATAGTGTCCTGTTGAGATTAAAAAATAAGCAAGTGCAGTACCGTAAATGCTTGAATAAGTGCTGCATCAAACCTGATTTTCCTTTCACTAAGCACCGCTCTTGAGTAAGCGCTGTTGCATGCAATAAATTTGAACTATTTCTAAGCCAGTAATATGATCCATTGCGTACATAGTACTGCATGATGATTCTTTATTCAGCAAAGGCAGTTATAAGTAAAACATTTGCTGCTCCCGGGCAATGATGCACTTTATGAATGAATAAATAAATAAATAAATATATATTAATAAATATAAATAATACATATAAATAAATAAATAAATAAATAAATAAATAAATAAAAGTGATGTGTTTTGTAACATTTTTAACATTTTGTCTAGTTCCCTTGAGTGCAAATAAGCATAGTTTTAAAAATACAGTTAAACTTGCCTAAATCGACTTCGCCTAACTCGAATAATTTCTAAGTTGATCTTATTTTACTGTACATATTAAATTGTTGTGTTTTCACTTAATTAACCATTTGTAGGTCCAATTTTCTCTAAGTCGAACAATTTTTCAAAGCCATTTTGGATTTGACTTTAGGCAAGTTCAATTGTATGATCTATTTAATGAAATTACTTTCTATTGTATCATGCAATTCAGCTTCAGATGCCAATTTATATAATAAAGAATTAAATTGAATAAAAATGTACTGAAAATAATTTTAGGCAAGAAATGTCACTGCAGATATACCGAAAAAACAATATAAATTCAAATGGGAAAAAATACACTAATGACATGTTTTGACAAAGTAACCAAGATATTTGATACTTGTTTATTTATAAAAAAAAAAAGAAAAAAAAAGAAAAAGAAATCTTACCAGATCTAGTTCCAAACGTATGATCATTGTTTGGCGTTGAAGTTAGTGACGGCTGTTTGCGAATCCAATCAAAATCATCTTGAGCAGCTTCATTGCTCCAAGTGCAAAAATTGCTTTCAAAATCACAATCACCTAGACAAAATATGATTAATATTTCAACAATATTTTGTGAGGATAGTCCATCCATCCAGAGCTGATCAATCGGGACTCTCATATACATTGAAGATAAAAATAACCTAAACCATGAAGTTGACAAGTTAAAAATGAATTATACAAATATAATAAAAAAATCAGAAAATTCATGAAAACAATAATTCAAATGCATAAAAAAATGCTGTGCATACAGTGTATTACAAGACAATAATGTGACGCTAGGATAGAATCACTCATCTACATATGTAGATTTGGCCAAATTGTGTTCTAGAATCGATGCAACCGTGAGAATTCAACATTCTTGCATGCGCAGGTGACTTTTAGTGACGTCATTACGTTCTGCATCCTACAGTCATCGTGCAATCGAAAGCTCAGTAAATTATCAGTCTGACCTTCCCAATGACTTTCCCAAGGACAAGTTAGTTTTATAAAACACTGGTCATTCCATTATTGTTTATCTCTTATCATTCATTCATTCTTCATCTTTTATTTCGGAATTTCATGTCCATACAAAAGAATAACAGTTAAACCAATACAAATACAACACAAAAAAAATATATATATAAATATATAGGAAAAAATCGAGAAGAAGAAAATCTGACTCGCCACCACATGACAAAAGTGAAAAAATATACTAAATCAAGAAAAACATTACTTAAGATCAGGAAATCATTTAAAAGTTTAATGCTTAATGGCTATGATTGAATTAAAGCTGATTTTCACAAGGTTTTATATGTATAGAATTTCTAAGATACTCGTAAAAAGGACGGTACAGTACACCATTGGATACAAACATAAAACTCGCACTACAGTGCCTCGGTTGTCGCCGAAATAAACGACAGGGCATTATTATAGCAGACTCTTAATGATCTTATATTATGACTTTTACCTATTGTCATATAAATACCTACAGTATTTTTCTGGGTTTTAATTATTCACCGAGCCTACATTGTTTAAAAAGATAAATTATGTTTTTATCACCATATTCAGCTGAAGAAAAGCACTAGCCTAGTAGGCCTAGTAGTAGTTAACAGTGGTTATTCTTCCGTCACCCACGGCCCGGGCCATAATCATTAAAACACTGTCATAAACATAGCATAATCATAAGGCAAGGCTAAAGTTTGATGTTTAGGTCAAGGTAGCTCCATCTCAATCAACACCTCAGATTTGCATAAACCATCGACATTGAAACACACACAGGATAGGTCCGTGTTGGTTTGCTGGGCCAGACTGACTTGTTAATATTTCGCCTAGGCCTAGGCCTAGGCAGGCCCAGGCAGGCCCTACGTTTTCACGACATGCCCCAGCCGCCGCCGGCAGGCGACCCAGGACTGCAGCCTAGGCCTAGCCCTACTATAAAATGTCTATGCCAAGGCCCAAATCTGGAACTAAGACCAATGAAACTATTGTACAGGCAATGTAATGTTTTAACACTGCCAAATATGATATTTATGTGTATATAATACCTTTTAACACAAGACTGCTTTTGCTTCGTTTTTCAACCCGGCGCGATGAAAGTTTTTCTCCCGAGTCGACAGGGGGCGCAATTTTGAAAACTTTAACCTACAGTACCTGTTGAACTTCTTACAACAGGTGGTCCCTAGTCTTTGAACTCAGTTACTATAATATATTGAAAACAATTGAAGCAATGGGCTTCTTCTTGTATTAACCGGCATTAGAATCACCTAAACTAATTTATAAACCAAGCATGTTTTTAATTGGATTTGATTTAAATCTAGATAGTCGTTAACACTGTTAAATTATATATAGATCATCAAAGAAAGGTAGAAACATTGTTCGAATAAAGTACATGATACTACATCGTGTAGCATAGCTCTCAACGAATGTTGTCCTATAAATACATACAAAATTGTGTGATTAAATGCATCTAACATTTAACACGGCAATATATGTATATATATATATATATATATATATATATATGTTTATATAGATTAAAAGGCAAAATACTGGAAAACAACAATGCTGTGGGAAACAATGGCTGGATCTCAGTAGAGATACAAAAATGATAAGCAACAGCTAAAAAGTAAACGTAAGTAAACAGCCAGAAATAGAACCAGAGCTTTCGGACAACACTAGTCCTTCCTCAGTGGCGAGTGAGTGAGGGTTGAAAAAGCCAGATAGTATAAAGTGAGAATTTCATGCAAGCATGATTAGAAACAATAGGCTAGGCTAGGTGGGATTAGAATAAACAGCTAAACAAGTAAACAGGAAGGCCAAAACTAAACTTTAGAGGCGTGCCTCAATAAATAAGCCAAATGATTTATCCAGAAGAATTTGGAATGCCATAGGTTTAATTTAGTGTACTGGGAGAACGTTCCTATTGAGTTCAAGTGGTGTGGTTGTTTTAAGTAAAAGTTCCCAGTGATTCTCTTTATCTTT